TATATATATATATATATATATATATATATATATACCATTTATTAATTCCTCACATTGGGCGGATAATTAATCTACTTTAATGCTATAATAATTTTAAAGATACAGTACAATAATCCGAAAATCTCAACCACGAATTCTACAAATTCAAACAAGTGATTTTTTTATTTGCTAATTAATAAATTAAATAACTAAAAAAACAAAATATGTAATAATAGAAATGGGGCACATAGTTTTGTGCGATAGTTTTCGTTGAAGATTTGAATGAATCTAGCATTTTCGTTTTACATATATTAATTACTTACGTTTAGTATCTATTCCTATATCTGTTGCTGTTCAGTATTTTTTGGGGGCAGCCGACACATGTTCATTCATTGTTTCTATTTTCTCTGTCGCATCCACATGCTTTCAGCTTTCAACCATACAACAGTTGGAAACACAAATTAGGGAGAGAAAAAATAAAAATAAAAAGGAAACGGAATAAGTTCTGTAAATATATAGAAAACCATGTGATATGATCATATGATTGTCAATCATTTAATTAGTGATTAATAAGCTAATATTAAAAAAGGCTGTTAGAAGGTGCTCTGATTGCTACAAATACGTATATATTCAAGTGATTTTAAATAATGTTACATTTTTGGCCCGTTTAATTATTTTCCTATTTAAAAAAAAAAATTAAAGATAAGTGTTATAAGTTTTTAGATAAACAAAAAGAAAATAAAAATCCAGAATTGTTTGATAATTAAAAAGTGGTGTTGTGTGTATTATTTGACTGGTGTTGAATGTAGGTGGTGTGTAGTATTGACTCTTATATATTATTTTATTGCATGGTTGGAGCAAAAGTAGAAGAAAGTTATTATTTTACGCGTTCTCATTCGGTGTGTGAATGAGAAGATCCGGGTGTCCACGTCACCCCGGCATTTCCTCCCTACTACCAATAATAAAATAATGCAAAAATGCAAAAATGAAAAGAACTGTTTCATGTGTTTTGGAATCAACCAAATCACGAGATCAATAATAAGCCGTCTAAAGAATTGTTACGTGAAAATCACTATGTCATATCATTTTCATTTTTCTGTTTTAGACACTGTATTGTAGGGTCTAAAAGACGATCATCGTCTTAGTGTCCTCCGTCTCTGTCCTCTCAAGCATTGCCTCAATCGCTACTCATTCATATATATTGCTATTTGCTACCTGTCCTTTTCTTTCTTCATATAACTTACTTTCTTTTCCACTCACTTCCTACTTCATCTTGTTAATTCTCATGGATTCTCAACTACACCTTGATGCAAGCTATGACGAGGATAAGGTAAAATTAATTGCCTTGCACAAGTTGCTGTAAATGAATCACAACTTTTGTGTTTGCATATATACTTATTCACATACTTGTGTCAATCAAATTCAGTTTCACTCCATGACATGCATTAACAATTTTACTTGTTGCTGTTTTATTTGAATCTGGTAAGGATGTTGAAAGGATCTAGCTGGTATCTATATCTTCTCCTAATCAGAATTTTTATGCCCATATTATTCAGAAGAAAACATGGAAGCAAACAATTCTGCTATCATTTCAAATTGTGGGAATAGTTTATGGTCAACTGAGCACTGCACCTTTATATGTATTTGGGACAATGCAAGAGGGAGATCTTTTATCAGAGGAAGTCGTTTATGAACTCTTCTCCTTCATTTTCTGGACACTCACAATTATTTCTTTGATCAAGTATGCCTCTATAGTGTTGAAAGCTGATGATGAAGGAGAGGGTAATTAATTACCTTATCTTCAGTAACTATATAGATATGTACATGGCTAGAGCCTCTTATTAAGATTAACTTTTCATAGAAAATATTTGTAGGTGGTACTGTTGCTTTATACTCACTGTTGTGTAGAAATGCAAAAGTTGGCCTGCTCCCATGTGATAGTACCAACGAGGTTATGCTTTATGAGGAGAGAAGTTGCTCTAAGATGAAAACCGATTCAAGAGCACGAAGGGCCATTGAGAAACACAAGATCTGTCACTATTTGATATTGTTTTTAGCCCTCTTTGGTTCCTGTATGACCATTGGGGACGCTGTGCTCACTCCAGCACTTTCAGGTATACATACAACTGACTTTAATTTTAATTTCAATTTCCTACAATCGATTGCTGAATGCATGTGCAAGATTCAATACTTACTTTTCATTGTGTGATTAAATTATTCACCTTTAATAATTACTTGATTTTTTTTTCGTATATATTATTTTGGCTGTTTAACAGTGTACTCTGCTTCGTCTGGCGTTCAGAGATCCTTGACAGACATATTGGATGACATATGTAAGACCTTGTACTCAGAATAGAAATAAATGTGACTTTTGTAAGGTTAATCGCTACAACGTGTTTTTTGATTATTTTGTTGTCTATAACCAGATGCCTCATCACCAAATACTCAGCAATCCGTAACAAAAGCTCTAAAAAGATGTAAGTTCTGTATATAGAGATTGTCTATATACAAGTTTATAAAAGCTTTTTTTTTTTTTTAATGGGAATTAAAGAGTTTTTTCTCTTAAACTTGCATCCAAACAGGTTTATCAAACTTTTCAAAAAGGCCCATCGTATAACGTTGGTGCGCTAGTTTAAGTTGTGATCGGTTATTTATTTAATTAAGTAAATGAAAAATTGATGCACATATATATGTATGTATGTATCTTGCTCACTTAGTGCTTCATATATTCCAGATGTACCTGTTCCCTCCGCGTGTGTTATACTGGTTGGCCTGTTCATGCTGCAGAATTGCGGTACACGTAAAATTGGGATCATGTTTGCCCCAATCATCGCTGTTTGGCTATTGTTTGCTGCTGCGGTGGGAACATATAATATTTTCTACTGGGATGTAAAAATTATCTGTAAAATATCCCCAATCTACATATACAAATTCATCAAAAATATTGACCTCACCAGATGGAGGTTGTTAGGGAGCGTCATTTTGTGTGTAGCAGGTGGGCCTTCTACTTTTACCACAGCCATGCAAATATCACCAAGTGATTAGTATTTATATTCATAATTATTGTTTTGGTGGCTAACATTACAAGATGTTCGATACTGTTGTTTTCCAGGATCGGAGGCAATGTTTGCAGACCTAGGCCATTTCTCCAAGAAATCAATTAAGGTACAATATTGCATAACATTTTCTATAATTCTAATATGTTGAAAATTGTTACTAACTTGTGCATCATGTGTTGGATGTAGATTACATTTATATGCTTGATCTATCCGCTTCTTCTTTTATGCTATGCTGGTCAGGCTGCATATATGTCCAAAAATTTAATTGCTCCGGAGTTTAATCATCTTAGTCAATCTATTCCACGTAAGTAGGTCCAGTGCCTCTATTTCTATGAGATGTTTCTTCCTGCATGCAATTTCACTTTACTGAAGTGATGGCTGGTAAATCCAGGTGGTTGCAGGCACTTGTTCATAGTATTATCCCTACTTTCTTCAGCCGTGGGAAGCCAAGCAACCATAACAGCGTGTTTCTCCATCATTAACCAGTGCCTCGCATTAAATTGCTTTCCCAGAGTAAAAGTTATTCACACATCAAAAACTATACATGGGCAGATTTACATCCCCGATGTTAACTGGTTATTGATGATTTTCAGTCTCACTGTCGTGCTTGCTTTCAGAGACCTTGTGAAAATTGGCAATGCAACAGGTATGTCGTTGGCGTCTATTGATGAAATCTCATCACATGCTTCTTAAGAAACACAAGGAGTTCGTAAACAGGGGAGGCCTAAAAAATAACGATGATTAGTATGTGTGTTTGTGATTAAGGGTTTGTTTTTTGAGAATTACTTCCGGCATATAAAAATAATTTTACATTAGTTAAAGACTTAAAGTTAACTAATAATATATAAGTTAATTTCTCCAAAAACCAAGTGATCAATTTGCATGTTCGTGATAGAAGCTCACAATTTGTGACAGGTTTGGCTATCATTTGTGGAATGCTTGTGACAACTAGTCTGATGTCACTGATAATTGCTTTGTATTGGGAGAAGAATTTAATGGTATCTGCGTGCTTTCTTGTATGTTTTGGCTTCCTTGAGGTTGCATATCTTTCAGCATGTCTGCTACAATTCCATAAGGGAGCTTGGTATTTGGTTGTCCTATTGGTAGTGTCCATGACAATCATGCTTTCATGGCATTATGGAACTGTGAAAAAGTATGAGTTTGATTTGCAAAACAAGGTACCAACGGAATGGCTAATAGATATTAGTCCAGGCCTAGGGATTTCAAGGGTACCCGGAATTGGGTTCATTTACACTGACATAGTAGCAGGAATCCCGGCTTTCTTTTCACATTTCATTACTAATCTTCCTGCCTTTCATCAAGTGTTGATCTTGGTGTCCTTCAAGTATATACCAGTGCCTTATGTCCCAGAAAGTGAAAGGTATCTCATAGGTAGGATAGGGCCAAAGGATTACAAAATATATCGTTGCATTGTGAGAAGTGGATATTGTGATCACATAAGGGACACGGGTGATTTTGAGGAGAACATTATTCGTTCCATAGGGGAATTCATTTCCATTGAACAGAATGACATTGAGTCCATGGTTTCCCCGGATGAAACAATGATCGTTGTTGGAAATTCAGGACTTGATGGAAATGCTTTAGTTGCTCTTGATGAAGTTGAGTCATGCATGGTGAACAATGAATCTCAGATAAGTCCAGTGGATGAAACGTTGGAGAGTAGTAGTGGTGGTAACAAGAGAAAGAAGGTTCGGTTCATGTTGCCTGAAAATAGTCCTAAAATGCAGGTATCTGTTAGGAAGGAGCTATTGGAGCTAATTGAAGCCAGGGAGAGTGGAAGTGCCTATTTCTTGGGTCAGTCACATTTGGTGGTGCGCGGTGGCTCAAACTATCTCAAGAGATTCTTAATCATGGTTTATCGTTTCAGTGAAAAAAACTGTCGAGAATCTCCTGTGGCTCTTAAAATCCCTCATGCAGCACTTGTAGAAGTCGGTATGGTATGTACTATATAACTACAACAAATTATACGACTTCTGCTGTTTCACTAATCCAAATAGAGAAGTCAGAGGTACAAAAGATGGGGAAAAATATTTCTTACTTGAGCATAGTTGTAGATCTCAGACTATGCAACATATAATGGAAATTAGAGAGATTATTCATGTCTTGTATTGTACCAAAAAAAAAAATATAGTCCCCTTTACATGATATAGACATTATGACCATATAAATGCTGATGTATTTCTGGTTCTGGGTGAGTTATAGGGTGCAAGGGTATACAAAATTGTGTATGATAGACAACAATTTGACCTGTTGCCGTAAGCTGTAACACTTAAAAAATGGTTGTTAAACCTTTAATCAATTTACATATACTGCTGCATAACGTAAAGATAAAATTACAAAAAAAAAAAATTATAAAAAAAAATAAAACAATATTTTTTAAAATTACATGAACTAGAGACACAAATTTTAAATTTAAAAAAAAAAAAAAAAAGAAAGAAAAAGATTGAGATAAGAGAATGATGTGGCGAAATGATGGGTGGGATTAAGTAATTGATAGAGAAGGCAAAAGGTGATATGGTAATTTGTACAAGTAGTAAGCTAAGTAGTAGCGAGAAATGGGTGGGACAAGAGCTGGGACGCCGTCCACCGCTGAGTGGAGTCCTTAATGAGACAAGAAGAAATGAAGCTTCGAAAGTGTTGGGAAGCAGTTTGGGGCAAAGTAGGTGGGTCCCCAAAACAAATGGCGCACATAAGGGTGGGCCAATCGGGGCTCTGGCCCATGGGAAGGAAGGGGAAGTGGCCCACATAAAGCTCGAAGAGGGTGAGGCCCAAGCTCCAAATATCAGACGCATAGCCGTTGTAGTTGCCGCCATAGGAATCGGGGTCGAAGCGCTCGGGGCTCATGTAGGCACAGGTTCCCACGTACGAGTTGCAGGCGTCGAGCGTGCGACACATCACCTTACTCACGCCGAAGTCTCCGATCTTCACCTCCATCTTGCGGTTCACCAGAAGGTTGGAGGGCTTGATGTCGCGGTGGATGATCTTGTGCGCGTGGAGGTAGCTGAGGCCGCTCAGAACCTCACGCGCCACGCTCGCCACCTGGGGCTCCGAGAAGGTGCCGCTGCTCTTGAGGAGCGTTTCCAGCGTCCCCACTTCCATGTACTCCATCAGGATGGCCACGTCACCGGAGGGTTTCTCGAAGAACCCGTGGTATTCCACCACGTGGGGGGACTCCGTCCGCTGGAGGATCTCCATCTCTCGCCGGACCTCCTGTCGGCTGGCGCCGTCAGTGTCGCCGTGGACCACCTTGAGGGCGTAGACCGCGCCGGTGCGCTTGTGGCGGACCTTGTAGACGGTGCCGCCGTTGCCATGGCCGAGGACCTGGAGCTTTTCGAGGTCGGCGGGGGCAATGGCGGTGGAGGAGGGGGGCAGGGGCAGGGGCTTAGGGACGGAGGGCTCCGGGAGGCGGAGGTTGAGGTGGCGGCGCTGGCGTACAAGGGGCATTGTATGTGAATGACTGAATGTGAATGTGTGTGCTTGTAATTATATGATGGAATGGAAGGGAAGAGACGGAAAGAAAGAGGGAGGATGTGGCCTTCACTAACTCACAAGTCACAAATACCATTTTCTTTACTTTTCCTTTTCTTTTTCTTTTCTTTTTTTGCATCTCCCTAAATATATGCTAATTATCCCACTTCTACTATTCTTCCTTCAATTTTTATTTTTCACCCATTCATTTTTCCTTTTCTATATATATATTAATATATACGAGTGATAAATTGGTTTTATTTTTTAATAAATAACTACAATTGCAGTAAAATAATTATTTTAATTAATTGCCATTATAAGATTCAAATTTTATTAATAACGTTATACAAAAATTATTTATTGACCCAATCGTTAAGTTATATTTATATATTATTTTTATTGTTTTTGTCAAATTATATGAAAATTGAAAAATAAGAAGTTGATATAACGAATTTATTTAAATAAATAATATATTTTAAAGTTTATGAATATTAACTACAAAATTACAAACTAAAAATAAAAAATTTACATTTTTAATTCTTTTAATGTTAATTATCTTTTTTTATTATATATCACCCTTTATTAGATCTTCATTTAAAAATAAAAGTGTCGTAAAAATAGAATCATGATTATATACTTAAATATTAAAAAAAAATCTTAATTACTTTTATTCTATTAAATGATGTTGTCTTTAAAACATTTTTTTATTTAATTAATATGTTTTTAATAATAATTTTTATTCTTTATATCAAATTCTAATAAGGAAAAGATAAATTGTAATTGAGATGAACGTACTTAACATATAAATTAGTTAAATACAAACATTGATCATCTATTTGTAGCTTGCAAGTTGCAACGCCTATAAAAAATAAATAAACATAGGTTAAATTGTTTTGTTGGTATGCGTCTCAAATTTCCATATGTTGGAGTCAGAGTGAGTGTGATTAGATGCAAGTTGTAGACGGCTGCCCATTAATATAAGGCCAAACAGACCAATGTGCTTATTAGTCAACCCACCACAACCTTTCCCCAAATATCACGCCATTTTTTTATTTTTTTATTAAAATACTTCTCATTTTTATATTATCTCTCCATCAGTTATAATATAAGTTATTAGTAATAAATAAATAAATAGATGACTCATAATATAAGTACTTTTAATTACTAGTTAAGTAATTTAAAATAAAAATGATGAAAATTTAAGTGCTACTAATACACTTCTCCTTTTCTCTATAAAAAAAAATACATTTCTCGTTATTTTCATATAATCTCACTTTATTCTCATTAAAAAATAGTTATTAAATTTTATTCAATAGTTAGATATTAGTTGGTGAGACATTAAAAAAAAAAATTTAGTAATCAATGTTATAATCATATTTTGAATAATATTTTTTAATAAAAACTTTTCACTTTTAATTTTTTATAGTATCTTAAAAACATTAATAAGCATTGCCTTTGAAAAATAATGGTTATAATATAAAAAAGAACAAAAAAAATATTTAATGTATAATTTTTTTAGTAATTTAAACTATTTAATAAAACATATTTAACACTTTTATGTACCATGTACCATAAATACATAATAAAAAAATTCCAAATTTTCGTAGGTCATACAGTTATTATTTCACGATTGATGAAGGGTATTTCTCGAAGAAGAAAAAATGCAAGAGACACTTTATATTAATTATATATATATATATATAAAAAAAACTGAATAACACTTCAAATTTGGTTCTTATGAAAAGAATCAGAAGAAGAACTACATACTTAATCTGCAATAAGTCAATAACAACACTAAAATTTGAACCAGAAATTTCATATAATTCTATGCCACTAAGCTGAGTTTAATGGCTTTTCTGAAGAGATGTCATTTAACTAGAATCAAACAAGTCTGGAAAAATCAGTTTACAAATTTAATTTCAATTATATTGTTTTGTAACATGAGTAAAGAGAACTATACATTCATTTAAATACAATTATCAAGCTTAATTCTCATTCTTGTATTCTACTAGCAAAAAAGTTTCACGTCACTTTGTTCCTAGGCAAAAGCTACTTCGTTCTAGTAATTAGTATTAATTAAATTTTTTTATCATTTATTCATTTTATTTTAAAAGGCCAACAAATGTATAACAATATGAATATTCATACGTATAATAATAATAATGTTTTTATGATAAGAACTACAAAACAATTATAAGACGGAAAAACTAACATTTTATTTGTCTAATACTAAAATATTCTTTTTGGGACATCATTTGTGGCTTCGTACCTGTTTCCAGTTTCCAAATCCGATGAATCCCATCAATTTATGGGACCAAGAGAGTAGTGGCGGCCCAAATTGGACTACTGGGACAATACTCAAGCTCCACTTAATTCATTAGATAAAGACACTGTTTTAAACTTGGCAAACACATACATACACATGCCACATTGTATCACTCAACCAATAATAAAATGAAACGTTATAAAAAAAAAAAAAACAATGAAAATTGACAAAAAAAATTATGTTGTTTTGATTTTAAATAATACAAGAAATTCGATATAGCTCAACTCCAAATGATTCATCTAATTTGATTCATAACTTCCTTCTTTTTTTTTTATCCCTAATCTGACCCATGTTTTGACCCACAATTCTAACAAGCACAATATTACTGAACAATAGTATGACCGAAGTACCACAGCTGAGGATAAAAAATATAAGGATAATGATATATACACTTCTTTATATCAATAATATATCTCTATTATATTTTTTAAAATACTTTTCATATTTTAACTTTTATTTTTTTTTATTCTATGAGCCTTCTTTTTCTTTGTTTTCATTTTCTTTTTTACTCGCCACCTTTCACATGATGCACATCCTTCTACCTCATTATCTTTAATGTTCAACTTTTGTAAGCATTCATCTTTTTATATGTATTCTTTTCTCTTTTTTCCCCCCGTGATTTTCTTTCTTTTTTAAAAGGTGTTTAGCAGAAGAGAAATTTTTTATTTTTGGAGAATTTTAGATTAAGAATATTAGTGTTTAATATTTGATATCTATTTTTTAAAAATGATTCTCAAAAAATATTGTTTCGATAATATTTTTATCCTACTTTCATATAAAATCTTTTTATGTGAGGAGTTGGAAATCTAACTCTTTCAACTAAGAGAAAAAATTTTAATTATATAAAAGATCACAATATTCTTTTTAAAAATATAAAATATATAATTAAATTTTATATTTATAAAATATCTCTTTTGCCATCTTTCCCTCTATCTTTTTTCCTGGCTCTCTCACTCCCCCCTCTCCCTTCTCTCTATCCCTTTCATATTTTTATTTGGGAATTGTTACTGTACCCTCAAAGATCGAGGGATTTCAATACATTTTTCTATGTAAACTCATAAAAGATTTAAAATAAATTAATTTAATTATAAAATAAATAATCCAAATTATACTTATAAAATAAAAAGTAAGATAAAATTATAGAGATTAAAATTATAAGATTTTAATAATATTATAAAATATTAAAAAAAGAAATAAATTAATAAATAGTAGAAATAAAAAATTAAATATATAATAATATTATTACAAATAAATTAGAATATATAAAATAAAAATAAAATGACTAAAAAATTAAAAGAATAAAATATTATAAATATTATTTAAATAAATTATTAAAAATATAAAATATAAAAAACTGTACCGGTACCCTCTCAAATAAGATGGGTACCATAGAATTTCTCTTTTTATTTCTCTCTCCCTTTTTTGTGTTTCATTATTTTTTGAGTTTGTCAATTTTAATAATATTATGAAATAATATTTTTTTATTTCTTAATTATAAAGTGACATTTTTTTGTTTATTTTTTATTATCAAATTTTATATTTAAATAATTTTAACTATAAGTTTTCAACATTTTAAAATAATTTAAGTTTTGTCAAATGCAAATAATATTATATATAAAAAAACTATTTATATATGTAATTAATTTTTTATTATCTTTAAAAAATATTTAGATCATAAAAAAATTTAATGTCATATTTATAATAGGATTTGGGTAATAAATATATCTAATAAGATTATTTTAATAAAGGATATTTAAAAAAAATGTCCAAGAATATATTATTGTAACCAAACATTAAAATCTTTAATTTTAAAAATCCTGTATGAATATTTTCAATAACCTTTATGATTAAACAAACAAATTTTAGCTATTCCTAGTAAAAAAAATTCTCCCCTACCAAATGTTCCTTTAATATTTTGGAAAATACTTTTCAGAAATATATATAATAAAAAAATCCTCCAAAAAGCACTTTCCTTAATTATGAAAATATTGTTCCAATTATTTTTGTTAAAAACATTAAATTCAATGTTATAAAAATTGGATGCATATAAAATGAAGAGTGTACAAGAATCATAAAATTCTATATTTTGAAAGGAAAATTATCATTCTAAAATTTAGTCCATTTTAAATTCTTGAAAAATGAGGAAGGAGGGGGTGAGTGCTTTGAAATTTGAACATTTAATTTTAAAGATTGATTTTATCAGTAAATAATTGGATCATGATATATAATATTAAGAAATAATATTTTAGAAAAAATTATAATAAGAATATATTATTAATATAAGGAGGTGCATGCATGAGTCAAAATATAAATAAGAAACGAAAAGCCCAGAACAAATCTAATGGGCCTTAGCTTTATATTTTAACCTCATCCCCCTTCGAATATTTAACTTGTGTTTTATCGTCCACAAAAATTGTTTAATCTCGCTTTTTGTTTGCAATTCTTTTTTATTTACGTCTTTCGTTCCAAATTTTTAGTCTTTTTAATATTTTTATTTTCTCAAAATAATTAAAATTTTAGAATTTCAAACCTTAAGTAACACTTTTTTCTCAATTAATTAAATTCACATTTAATATACTTTTTTCTACCAAATATCAACTTTCCATTTATTTATTACAAAATTAAAATTATTAGAGTTAGTCTAATGATTAAAGAGGATGAGATTGAAGCAGCTACAAGTGAGAGAATTTAGATTCAATTCCCATTATATCTTTGTAATCTATTC